GTTATGCATATAAATATATGTATAGATATATATATACGTATATATATATATTTATATATATATATACATATATACATACATAAATATCCATGTATTTTTATATATAGATAGAGATATATTTATATATATGGATATATATATGTATCCATATACATATACATATATATATATATATAGATATAGATATATATATATATAATCTTCTATATCTATATATACATAATATTATATATATATATATATGTATATATTAATGTGTATATATATATCTATATATATGTATACATATATATATATATATGTATAGACATGTATATAAATATATTGATAAAAGTTTATATATATATCTATATATATACATATATACATATATATTTATATATATTCATATGTATTCATAGATATATATATGTATATATTTAAATACTTTTGCGAAGCTACAAAAGCGCCTGTATAGTAACAAATTTTATTCTTCTTTCAAGATGCTAGCGTTTTCGGAATGCTAATAGATGTTTTCTGTTTGCATCGCGTAGTATTTCTGCATTTCTTTACACCTTAAGATTCCCGGTTTCATTACGCACGAGATATTGTACGTTATTGAAATGACATTTGGTTGTCATCGATAGGTCCTGGTAGGCCCCAAAAGTCAGTTCCCTCTTATGTCTCTATGGATCGAATGACACAGACGACTGTGATACAATATCCACCTGAGCTACGTGGCTTGTCGAAGGCCGAACGTGTCCGCAAAGCGCAACATTTAGGATTGTCAAAACAGGTGATTTGCTGATCTAGCGTGCGGATAGGACTGAAAGCACATTTTTCTTGAATTCAATTTGCGAAGAACAGTTATTTAAGCTCGATGGTCGTTGTATTTTGGAAATCTTATAAAGTGTCACACCTTTTCGCCGTACTTGAACAATCATTAGTTGATCGACCGCTTTCTCAGTCTGGGCGATGGGGCAGTGGAAGTTGAGAAACATCTCGGAACAGAAATGGAATGCAAGGCTCGCGCTTTCCACGTCTTCGCTAGAAGGTAAAATTATCTTGGATATTCACTATTTTTTGAAGTGGAACAGATATCATCAAATTCAAGGCTCTGCTAATTTGCTTCATTCGATGTTTATCGACACAGGATGTTTCATTGGACTGTTCTTTTATCGCCAGAAGAGTTTATAGGACAGTCGTTTAGGACCCTCCAAGCCAAATACGAAACATTATCGCTGGATGAAATCAGACGGATCGGTGCTTTAGGTGTGTGGCGCAAAACATGATTTCTGCTACTCGCCCCAGTGGCCCTAAGCAATTTACATTGGATTTCCGCCATAAGTTTTAAGCCTATAATGTTTGTCATTCAGTTATACAACGAAGCTACATGGTTGGACCTTCATCGCACACATCGGCGCTCCCTGTGCACATTGGAGACTCCTTTTATGCAGCGGATCGACCACAAAGAAATACTCCCGCCAAGATGGTATGATAGTTTTGAGTCGAACATTTTTTCATGTAGTTTTTCCTCTAATTCCTGAACATAATGACTTTGTACATTTGGCATAAACGTGCAGAGTGGACAAATCAATCCTGATTTTTTCCTAAACTTCACGCCCTATAGATTGGAGACCTCAACTATATACTTGTCATTTAATTTTGCAGCTTTTATATGTAAACACTATACTAAATAATTATCCAAATACTGATAAAAATTGTGTCGTTTTGCAGATAGTACACATGGCGAAGGTGAATGAGCTTACGGATGAAAACACATTCACTCTTTCCGAATCATACCAAGGAGCGAATTCAGACGGGAGTATTGTCCTTCCCTCAACTTTAAGTTCACAGCTCGGTAAAAAGGCTTTTCAAAAGGACTTCGATGGGCTTTTCGACTTCCACTATGGACTTGGTACGAAACACAGCACTATGAACGCGTGGTTGTGGATTAGCATACATCAAGCTTATTGCAATGAGCTGAAAATCTCAAAACTTGCCCGTTCTAAAGTTTAAAATATTGTAATGCAGGGCTAACATATTATGGGTTGAAGTTAAGTGCCAAAGTAACCGCAGAAGAGCATGGAATGCGGGCCTCGACTCCCAGTGCTTCTGATTCTTCTTTCAAGGATTGGATAGAAATGAATACACCGCCGTACAATAACTTGGGAAAACTCAGGTAAACATTTCAGAGGGAGCATTTGACGGTGCTGTACGCAATCTACGCACATTGTCGCACAAATGGATCAGGAGCTACCGCTATACGTTTAACGCCTTTCGCTAAATGTTAAACATCTTAAAACGAAAGCCTCATAGATTTTATGTATTGGGATATACAGTAAATATTATTCCAGGCGAGTGGAGAAGACGCTCACCGGCAGACCATGCATAACCACTATTCCGATCAAGTTGCCTTTTGAGATATCGGAATCTACGGGTCGAATATGGTCTATGCTTAGTTCCGGGTATATGCTAGACGATTCTGGGTTTGCTGACCACAATCTCATGGGGTATGTTATACAATACTCTTTTACGCTCGATAGTATCAGTAAACAGTGTAAGTATACATAGACATTAAGACTTACTTAATACCATGTCCTTTTAATATTTTCCATTTTGAGTTCCATATCCGAGAACCTCAATTTTCTTGCCTAAATCGTGATCAAATATGCTATAACTTCACTTTTAAGGATGTTTGTACAATTATATCGCAACCATCACCACTCGTCTCCACACGTATAGACAATAGTACTTCTGCCGGCTCTACTCCTGTTCGTCGGTGTGAGACGAACTAGTACCTTCGGAAAATTTAAACTCGAGAGCGTCGCTGCCATTCACAGAGCCCGCACACTTTTAAAGGTCGCCACATTGCAAGAACGTACGCATCTATTGAAGACGGCTCCCATTATTGTCCCGGGCTTACTCTACTATGAACTCAAAATGTATTACAGAGCCACTGAGGTGTGCAATACAGCTGCTGCATCATCGGATCCGCTCATATCACTGCTGAAGCTCGAGGGGAAGGCAAATGAGTGCAAGTGGCAGTGGACCCAGAAGAACATATCCACAACCTGTTAAAGGCGTATGCCACAGGATCCCATTGGGGAACCAATTTGCACGGGCTTTCAGGCACCTTACAGACTAGACCATTGCAAAACTCACATTATTGCTTATATGTGAATCAGTAAAAATGAATCTAGATGTTCGTATATAGGTACATACCCGAAATACTGACGGTACAGCCCGCTGTAAAGAAAATGGTGAATAGCAAGCATATGAAAGCTCTCGTTCTGGAAATTCAAGGTGCCATACAGCAACAAACTCACATTAAACATCGGAGAGGGTAAAATGTCGGTGATACACCTCAACGGCTGACTGCTTGCGATGCACTATATGAAATACTAATAGCACAGTGCTACAGCATCCTCCGTCCGATTCAGTTTAGAAGGCCAGGGTGCCGGGTTATACTCAGGTGAGCTCCAGGGATAGACTTCGTTCACAAGAAATGGATATTGTTGGGTATACGCATGCGATGAGCGCCAAACCCACACTCGAATTCTCTAACGAAATTATACTTTATAGGGAAATAAATTATAATCATACTTGCTACATCAAATCAATTCTTCCCGAGCGAAAGCGACACAGAATTACACGACAAAAGCTATTTTTCCAGGAACCCGAACCTTTAATAAGCAGATTTTTTTTTTAAAGGGAACGCAATTCTGAAGAACCAGTTTCGGGCAGAAACGCGGGCGAATGGCATCCGCCAGGTCTCACCCAAATCACTATCTTCAGCGTCGACCGTGCAACGAAGGTCAATGCCGAATGTATATTAATTTCGAATGACGACAGCGCCCGCTTGTGCATCATTGCTACGGTAGTTCGACGGCCTCCCTAAAATTAGGACACAACACTCACATGTTAGTTTTGAATTGCCTCAAGATGAAGTACTCTTCGACATGTACACTGCAGCAGACAAATCCAGGTCTAATTTCTTAAGCCGAGCAATATATTATATCAGCCGGCAAACAGACCAGAAATATAAAGCAGAAACTAAATCCATTCTATAATCATTGCGCGCCATACCTGGATGATCGAGGCCTATACGAGGATAAAGTTCATTCGACAAAAGTTCCTGGACACTATCTGTTACAAACAAGGTAAGGGCAAGATTGAGGTATGTTCTGAACAACCATGCGACACAACGTGTGCAGGCTGGAGCTGAGTGCTAGGATGTAATATTTGAAAGGCTGCAGTAAGAATAAATCCTACGCCCAGATAGCACATCCTCCACACGACTGACAAGTTGCAATTATCAAGATATGGAAAATGTGAGAAAAATGTGTACAGATTAAGAACGAAACTTTACCTTCATCTTTAAGGTATTTGGGTTTACTGTTGTAACCCTCGGCATCTAAAATCGCTACCTTCCACTTCTCGAATTCACACGGTGTCGCCGTTGAAGCTGCTTGAAGTCTCTTCTTTAAATCTTTGACAATCTCCCTCTGTCACGAATGCGGAATGAAGGACAGTTAAAAACGTGGTTTACATAGCTACTGTGACTGTCTGGAATCAGGTATGGGAACCAAAAATACGAGGGTGATTTGAAGGTCGCACTTGCACATCATCTCATGATATGACATGACACATAGTGTTACCTCGTGAACCGCCAAGAGGAATGGGCTACCATGCAGTTTCTTGGCCTCGCGATGGAAGTGTACCACCTGATTAGATTTAGATTGATGGGTGTATTGACTTTAAAAATTTGAGCAGGACAATGCAAATTGCACATCACGCAAAACAATCCAAATCAGCGAGGCAAATCCCGAGCATAAATAATCACACCACTTTCAATTGGCATACATTAAGGAAGTTGTCAGCGTTCAGTTGATCAAGGGGTACCTCCTCTAGTCTTGCTCTGCGATCGTCCTGTCGTATCTTCTCGCAAGCTTCATTTTCTTGGTATACCCTCAAGATTCTATGATCATATATTTCCAGTAATCGCAGCTTCCCGGAACCTCCAGGTGCTGCGGAAGTGAATGGTATAGCGAGAATCACTCCTATAAACATACGCGCATTGTAGTTATATTGGGATCGAGATGCTTTACGCGCACGTGTTTAGAATCTCCCCATTATACAGCTAGACTGACTATGATTTCTGTGTATGTATACTCACATGGGCTGCAACTGGCCAAAACCACCAGCTATTAGATGAACACAACAAAAAAGAAAAGAGAGCAATCGAGCAGGAGAGTCTGAGACAGAAAACAATACATCTTATGGGATACTCTAGACCTGCATTTCAAATCAACTATTCGCCATGTATTTCTGACTAAATGCTCGATGCAAGCGCATTTCTCCGAACTTTCAGGCGACGATAATATAGTATATAAAAAAAGGGGTATCGACGATGGATATGGGAAGGATACTTTAACCATTACTTACTGTATCAATTAACCAACTTTATATTGATCTTACCTAATTTGATCATAGGGTTGTGCCTCTGATCTTCAAGCACATTCGAGACTGTAGTGCCATGCTCCAATAGAAGCCGTTGTTCTGTCTGAGTACACGATGGATACACACAATGATAAAACGTAGTGGTTAGTATATAACTTTGATGATTGCAATTGTCGACGTTGACAGATAATTAATACTGTTTTCGCTACCGAATACGAAAGATATTCGAAAAATGTATTATTCAGCTCTTAGTCGTTTTCATTAGCAATACACCCAAGAGAAACATACCTCTTCACCGGACGCTGACCTCCACCATATGCTCAGGGGAACCTTAGATTCCAATTCCACGATATTGACGTCTAAATATTCATAGAGAAGTGTCTGTAATATAATAGCGGGATATGAAAATCCGAATTTCATCTTTGAGTGGGAGCATAATCACGGCGATTCACAACTGCGAATCTAATGAACAATAAGCGCATAAAACGAAACAGAAACATACATTTGCATTTGCAGGATCGATGGTCATACTGTCTATCATCGTCTCCAACATTATCTCGCCATTGCCTCGAAAAACGGGTCTGCTGCTTTTCTCCCCACTAAAAATAGGGTTAAATATGTAATTTGAGCTATAGAATGGTGTATGAATCAATAAGACTGACGTTGATTGCCACACAAATGCCAAACACTGCAAATACAGCACAATTTCAAAAAGAACTAAAATTCGACACAAAACCAGAAAAGGGACACATACTCCGGAAGGTGGAATCGCAATGTCGCAGGATCCACTTGGTCGCCGTCGTCTAGAGGCAATAGTGAGCCCAACATTTGGGCGACTTCATCGTGTTTCATATCTGTGCGCAACTCCAGCTCTATACTGGGTTCTGCGAATCACAACACATTAAAATTTTGTCAAAAGAAAACGTTACCAAAGTGTACGCTAGACGAGATTTCGATTCAGATTAATGATTGTTCAAAAGCTTAAAAACTCACCGTTTCTGCTTTCGTCGATACAGTTGAAAGTTATAGTTATCCTGTGGGCAAGGTACTCGTAATAGTCTTTCACAGTGGGCCATTTACAATGTTTACTGAAGCCGAAATGAAAGGTTGCAGTCCATTATTAGTTGCAATACAATTTCAGAATCGAAATCACATTAGGCAGCGTGGAAAACAAGAAAAACCAAAAAAAAAAAAGCGGTAATATTATATTGAACTGTAGCAAAATGGACAAGATATCTTAATACCAAACGAAATTTTCCCGAGAAAACTTACTCAGCTCTTGTCTGCACCTGGAATGTCAAAATATCACCAGAAGCCAACTCACCCTGCCGAAAAGTCCTCTCTGTGTTGACCATGTCAATACGCAGTGGTTTTATCTCTTCGTAAACCCTACGGCGATCGGATACATAAAAAGTTCAGCATGCTGGGTGAAATCAAGACTTGTTCATACAGAAGTACTCAAGACTTGTACATACAGGAGTACTCAAGACTACACAAGCTACATTCGAAAGGAACTCCGAACACTTTCAGCAGAAATATATTCCAACAAACGAGAATGCAGATATGTATGGTCGAGTTGAATACGACACCAACATACACTAAAGGAACGCCGTCAGGGATACCGGCCCATTGGCGCATGACAGGTTCAGCAGCTGCCATGAGTTCGTCCTTCGGAAAAACACATGAGCCAATGTAAGTCAGCTGTCCCTTTACAGCATCGTAGTCTTTGAGATAAATCCTGAAATAATACATTCAAATTAAATATGAATTGCAAATTGAAGCGCAGAGTGAACTATGCTGCATCAAATATTGAAGCAACGGGATTCACATAACTGGGGCCCGGAGAATTGTCCATGAAGGCTGGTTGAATAGATATTATCACGTTTCTGTGCAAATGCACATTTGAAAATCATCTGAGAACAACCAAGCACTCACATCACATCGTCATTATGCCTCGTCCTGTCATCCCTCTTTTCGTGTATGAAGACCTGAGGCAGAGCAGTTTCGCCTTCGCGCGGAGTTTCCATATAAAGCTTCTCATTGGAGCCCTTCAATGCATTCCCTGTGACGTGTGATGTAATCCGAAAAGAAAAACCATTTAAAAACACAATACATGAAAATAACAAATTGAAAGCAGGGTAAATTACGATGATAAATTGTAACACAGTGTAAAAACGAAACGCCTAAAAAAAGTCGTACAGTAATAATCGCTACATATGCATATCATCTACATCCATACAATTTTCCAGTTCGGTGATCCTCCGGTGGCCTTGGCCCTCCAGTCCTAGCACTTCTGCATGCGGTCTCATTGTTCCGTTCTGACGATGTACAAATTTCCAGAACCGCATCTGGTGGGGTTCAAGACCGAACACTTCACCTGCTTGTGCCAGAAAGTCATCCACGGTGGACAATTTGTGCACCTGGACAGGATTTATCAACATACATGAGTTTCGGTACGGTGATATTTATGGAGACCACTTGTATGCCAATAATCAAAGCCAAAACTCCTTCCTATAAGCTATAAATCAAAAATAGTACAAAATGAAGTGACTGACATAATCAGCATGTAAAAACACTTTGCTGAGTGGTTGAATGTACCTTCATTTCAGTCCAAGCGGTGTCAGACGAGAACAGATGGAATCCATGATTCTCAGCTATCTCTTTATCTTGAATTATCTGGAACATCATGTACTTGTGTGCTTCAGCTGCATCCACGATCTTGCGATGATCTTTCTGTCGTTCGTTCAGCAATTGCTCTCTCAGCGTATTCCGCATGTCGTCATCTTCCACCGGCACCATAACTTCATTGACACACGAGTCCCGGATATACACCAGCATGTACGCGTTTGTGAACTTCTTTGTCTTATCGCCCTTGCTACCCATTCTGATTTGTCCATTGACCTTATCGACTCCGAAATTTCCATCCAGCGCCTCCTCCGTGGATACATTCGTGACCTGAAGGTTCGTATCGGTTGGGTTGAGATCAGCACTCGAGGATGGCGTACCAGACATGGTATGCAAATTTATCAATTAGAGATACACGGATAACCAGTCATGAGTGCTTAATTCAATCAAAAACCCGATCTGTATATATACGCATACACTAAACGAGCCAAAACATACCTTGTCATCGTCAAATTTACACCATGACCCATCTATCTTTGGTTTGATATAGGCTACGTAATGTCCGCTGTGGATGTCTCCGGAATGTACCAATACCGAATACAATGTGTAATCAGCCGGTTCGCTTCCGGGATTGTGCAGGTATTTATCTAAGTTGATTCTGGAGCCGAGAAAGTGGTACAAAATGAACACAGTCAGTGGAAGCCACACTCCGTTACACCAGATCTGCATATGTTTTGTCTCAAAAAGGAACGATCGATATTTTAAATATTGAGCGAATATATTACTACTGGGAATAAATGAGCACACAGACATATATTTACCTTTCGTCAAATTCGTGCCGATCGTTTATCTTGACCATAGCATCCGCATCAATGTCATATTCGAAGCGTCGAAGCTGCAAATGCAACACGGGCGGAAGCTTCTCGAATATACAACCTTTCTTGGCGTCCTGCAGACCGTGGCCCTCGGCGAGATACTTGTTATCTCCATCCAATGTTTCCTCCACCACGTACTCGTCGAAGGAATCGTACAGAGACTGTTTATCTTTGACCACCAGCTGCGATGTCGAAGTGAATAACAAAATTGATTCATGCTATCGAACTTTACGTGAGAAAAGTAAAGATCAAAGTATTGCTGCTAAAATTTAACAAAATATACTGCTTTGGTAAACGAGACCTATACCTGAATATCATAGAAGCTCTCAGATCTACTGCTTTCGTAATCGACGTTGATGCACTTCACGTAGCTCTTCATCCTGCCTTCAAACAGACTCGCAATAGTGCCCTCTGCGTCTGTGCCCTTCATCTTACTTTCCATGTTGTCGCATAGCACACGATTAAATTCTTGCACATCGTGCTGCATAAATGCGTCTGCCGTGTTCCAGCCAAAGCTGCGAGTCAGCTGAGTGGTCCCCACAGGTTCATCGAGTGTTTGCAGATCAAAAAATACCCTAAGAGCGGATCATTATATAGGTGAGAACTTATGATATTACTTTTTAGCACGGATTTTACTGGTACAGGTGAGAGATCTGTCAGACCTTCAACCTTAAGCCCCTTAGCAGAAGAAAATACATAAAAGACAAAACTGGCCATGCAGAAAAAAAAACATTCAATCTCGCAATATAAAAGATTTCAACAAAATGTGGGTTTGAAATTGTCTCTCAAGCCACGGGTAAGCTTGAACCATACCTCTGTAAGGCCAACGACACACTAGTGTCCGTTTCATTGGATGGTAAGCTGTACACAGCCTTGCGCAGTTTATTGGTAAAAAACAACGCTTGCAGCATCGAGTTCATGTAGCATGTTGCACCCTGGTTCTTAAGCCCGACACAGCCCGTGGCCATTTTAGAATCGTATCCGGGAAGTGTCGACCATATCGACGAGATGCCCTTCGCTATCACAACCCTCGCCTCAAATGTATACTGAAGAAAAAAAAGAGAAACAACAATGTCGACGATCAACAGTTTAGTGCGAGACCAAGCAAGCTTACTCCTTGTCTACATATTTTCGTTGAGATTGAAGCATATATTTCCGCAGTCTTTTTGTTGGTACTTTGCAGTTTTATTATTATGGAAATTTGATGACCGAATCGAGCAGGTGGTTTCTTCGTTTAGGTTCATGAAATAAAAATTCATTCAATAGTAGATGCTATCAATCGTTCTGGAAAATAGATGGACATATGCCAGGATTTGAGCCGCAACTGCAACAAGAAGAGATTTACGCAAAGTCACATAACGGAAGATTCTGAATGGATACCTTATTGTTGACGGAAAAGCCGTTATTTGCATCCTGGACTTCGCTGATAGTTGTAAACGAGCTAAATCCCCAATCACTCTCTTTATCTCTTGATTGGAAAACATGGTGGGAGTCTTTCATATGCGATTTCTCTGGGTACACAGAGAGAAGCGCAAGAGTGAAGAACACACTTTTCTTCCATTCGGCACCTTCATTTGCCTGTACAATAAAACGACATGCGGAAAATCCATTTGAGAAAAGGACTGAAATATCAAAGATACACAGAAATTGATAACGAACTAGGCGCGATATGACTGACCGCAACCTAAGAGGCACTTGTTTCAAGTGTACTTTTATCCATCTGACACCAACACATTTAGGTCAACTCTCGCGAAGGGTAATCGTTTCTCATGAGAAAGATAATCGCGATATGAAGTTGGTAAACAATGTATGATAGGATTAGGGCCCTAGTATATATTTGTGTATGTGAAAATGTAAATGATTTGGTTCACAATGATTTTGATAATATCACGTGGCCAAATTTTACTCCAAAGTTCGGTACTCCGGCCCTGGGGCCGATCGCACTATATATATAAACACACACACAGATTTATATTTGTATACTTATATATAAAAGTATTTATAGATATATATATATAAATGTATATGCGCATGTAGACAAACACAGATGAAAAGTTGGCATACAAAACATACAAACAATTATAGGTACCCATATATATATATATATATATATATTATCATTTATATATATACATACATATACATATACATATACATGTACACATATATATACATACATATATACATATATATATATATATATATATATATACATATATATATAATATACATCCATAAAAAACAGAAACAGACACAGAAGCACACATACACGCTCCCATATATGTATGATATATACATTATATATATATACATACATACATACATACATACATACATACATATATACACACGTATATATATAGATCAATATATACATCAACTATATATGTATATATAAATATATATATATATTCACAAATACATTTGTATATACATAGTATATATATACATATTCACAAATACATTTGTACATACATAAAATACATATATATATATATAGATATAAATATAGATATAAATATATGAATATATATATATATATATATATATAGATGAATATATATGTTTAAATATACATTCATAGACACAAACACACACATATACATATATATATTATAGAGTTATAAATATGTAAGTGTACATTTATACACACACATACATATATATATATATATATATATATACGGATGTATATACGTATACGCAAATACATACATACAAACACACACTCACACACATATATATATATATATGTGTGTGTGTGTGTGTGTGTGTGTGTGTGTATGTATATGTACGTGTATGTGTATGGGTTTACGTATACTTATACGTATACGTATGCATACATATATATATATATATATATGTGCATATTTTATTATATTATAATATTACAATATAGTAACGATATAATAATATATATATATATATATATATTTATGTATGTACGTATGTATTAATGTACGTATGTATGTGTGTACTTACATATATATCTTACATATATATATATATATGTGTGTGTGTGTGTGTGTGTGTAAACATACATACATATATACATACATATACATACATATATATAAATACATGCTTACATACAGACACGCACATACACACTTCTATACATATATATATGTGTGTGCATGTGTGTGTGTGTGTGTGTATAAATGTGCAGTATACGTTTATGGCGTATGTATTTGCATAAATTTGTGTTTGTACTGAAGATCACTAGAGAAGTGGGGTATTCGCAGAGAATGAAGAATTACAGTATACATTGGAGTTTGAACGAGCAGTCGAGTTTTAACTTGGGGGGAACAACGTGATACATAGTCTGTCTGACAAAAAACAAGGCTGGAGGACTGAAGGGTAAACAGGAGGTCACTTACGTCTATATAGGCGCATTCAAGAAAGACGGAGATGCTCTGATGCTCATAGTTATTGTTATTCCCCCGGGGGAAAATAAGAAAGCGCCTACGGGAGAAAATTGGGAGGATTGAGGTGGCTAGTGGGCTTGATCGAAACAGTACAAAAAAAATCGAGCTTAAATAAAATACAGTGCATAAAGTCGAGTTTGGCAGAAATCCATACCATTCGCAGCCGCTGAATACCTCTGGCACCCGACTCTTGATCTTGCAATTTGGATCGGGATTGTCGAAAAGCCCATCCACCTCAAAGGTGAAGCAGTGCTCCTCTACAATGTCCTCCGGTAGTAGTAGGGTGGGACGGTCTGCGATAGACAGAGGGTCGTCTTTGGCCGAGGATGTCCCATCGGAGGCGTCTGGGAGATACTCGTCCGAATCTGCATACAAGGCACAAATGTGCACCAAAATTACAAAAAGAGGAATCGTATGTTCACCACATAGGATTTGTCGGGTACTTTGCACACCTTTTACGCATGGTGACTATTGATGCTAGAGAGGATAGGCACCACGAAAGCCACAGGTAACCCAGAATATAGAACGCTCCAGGCGCGAGCTTTACTACACACAGTTGCAACAGAGCGGTTGGCACAAATGAAACTTATGTCTCATATTGGAGTGCACCTACTCATGTCGGGAAAGAACGTGTAAGATTGTAAACGAACAACGTACTAATATCACGTGTAAAACAAAGCATGTGAGATGTTGTCCACAATGCTGATAAGCCCAAGGCCTTCTATTTAAAAGCAAGGAGTCGCTCGAAGAGACTCAGACAAAATTCGGACAAAGTTCGAACTGTACTCATCAGGAATGGTTCATATGGAATAGCTTACCCTGGCCCACTTCGACGTCCATCTCCACTTGCTGTGTGACCTGAGGAAAGGTCATACTGGGTACCACAAGTGCTTCAGGATCCTCTACTCGAGACTTCCGTTCTCGCTTACTGCGCTTCGAATGCTTACCCCCCACGAAGAATGTAATACAGCCCCCAATCTGTGACAACTAAGCGACAGCGCGCAACCAACCTGTGCATTCAATACAAATTCGCGGGATGTTCAATTCGTTTCGGACCTAGCTTGTTTGTTTTCTATATATATATATTTATACACATTTATATATATATGAATACATATAAATTTTCTGTGAGATGATATTTTTTTATTTTCGAGTTTTAAATTTTTGCACACAAAAGAGGCGATAGAGTGAGTGAATATATTTATATTCGAATTCACTCGAATATTTTTCATGATCCGTGCGGAACAGCGAACACTGCATAGTGCATACTACGGCATATAAATATCTAATAAATACGTTCCGATTTTATCTGTGCTTGTGTTTATTTGTATCTGCGCCCCTACAAATCCGCTTGCAAGGTGTACTTATACTTGAATAATACACACACACATATTATATATATATATATACTATATATAGTACACGTACGTACGACGTAGACGAGACGAGACGACGAGAGAGAG